ATTTGGAATTTGGAATGAGGATAAAAAGACAAAAAACAAACAAACATGCAAATAAGTTCAAACATCCATTCAATATCTATTATTTCCTGAATATTACTGATCAAAAAGTAGGCTACTGTTCACATGCGTTTTACTAGTATATAGTATAGTAATATAGTAATAATTTAGCACTTTCTCCTGTTTTATTGTTGGTTTCCTCTTTTCTGATCATTTGGAATGACGATAAAAAGACAAAAAACAAACAAACATGCAAATAAATTCAAACATCAATTCAATATCTACTATTTCCTGAATATTATGAAATTCAAGATGGCCTGATGACGTCATAATATGCAAATTAGGCGAGTATATTTACACCCCACATAAACTTTCGGTCATGCCCAACATTTTTCTAATTTACAGTAGATCTCTATCTTTAAGCCCTTTCAAGCCACAAGCTTTTGAAATCTTGATGTCAAAATCTTGATGTCTTCCCAAAAATCCCTGGTGCCTAAAGGGTTCATGATAATGCAATGCTGTTGTAAGTGTTTGTTTTCTTGTGTTGAAATGAATTCCCAGCCAATTCGCTTGTTAGCACACGTTGAAATGGCCTCCTGGGCACATATGTGCTTCGTAGGTTGGTAGAAAGCTGAGCAGTCCTCAGTGTATCCTGTGATATATGAGGAGACAGGTAGGATTAGGGATGTATAATGAGAATATTAAGGTTGGTGACCCTCTTTCAGTTTGGGCTGTGAGTGTGTGGATAAAATAAGCTATTGTGTATTGGGAGTTTAAGGAGAGAAAGAGTAGAGATATCACTCCAATATAAGCATCTTGGTGTGAAGTGATGTGTGTGTGTGTGTGTGTGTGTGTGTGTGTGTGTGTGTGTGTGCGTCTGCGGATCAACACGCGCGCGTCACTCCTGGGGGCTTTACTGGTAAAGTTAACATTTGTTTGTGTTTCAGTAACGTTTAGGAATCCGTTAATCGCGGAGGATAATAATGATGCGTGTCTCTGAGCTGTGAAGTGATGTGTGTGTGTGTGTGTGTGTGTGTGTGTGTGTGTGTGTGTGTGTGTGTGTGTGGAGGTTGGGTGGATAGCAGAATAAGCCCATGGGACAACCTGATTCCACATCCAGCAGACACTAGATTACTGGCTGAAAACTATCCCATTTCCTGTCAGAAATTGAGGTTGGTTTGGTATGTATGCAAACAATATCATATAGTCCTTTGTGTCCTTAAAATAAATATATTGTGGCAATTCCATGATACACTGACGGTATGAGTTGGTAATGTACCATGGTACTGTAGTTACATGGTATTCCAACATACTTCCAACATAATTATCATAATACATATCCCATACCATTTGCATAGTACAATGTAGAAAACAGCCATGGTAATATCACAGTACTTTTTGGTACTTTTTTGTTAATGTGGTTTGTGTGATTTTTTTCCCCACAAACCAATTCAGTGCTAATCCCACCCCGCAGCAGATTCTACAGATTTCATTGGTCATGTAAATCACAGTGCTAATTGCCTACACAACACTGGAAGAATTACTAACCCCTAACCCCAACCTAAACCCTAACCTAGTATTTTGATAGATAGCATTACTGTTTGTCATTGAATCCATTACAGTTTAAACTGAATCTATAAAGTCTGAACTTTTCTCAATATGATTGAGTTGACAGATGAAATCGTCTGTAGGGTGGGGTTTGCACTGAACTGGTTTGGGGAGTGTGTGGTTCATGTTCGTTAGATAGTACTTTTTTGCCAGTGTTAGCCTTGGTTCCACTAATCTTTCTTACTCTAGTGCGTGAGTGTGTTTCCATTTGTGCTTCTTTCTTTTTTGGTTTGAATGTTTGGATGTAACTGTTTCCATATTTCCCCAGCAGATAGTCCCGCCCCCTGGGATGCTCACACTACAGCCTCCCCAAGTCTGTCGGAAGTAGCACCACCCCTCGACAGCTTACCTAATCCATCAGCTTCTTCTCATATGAACCCACCCACCGACCCACCTCATACATCGTCCTTGGAAGCAGTAGGTCCAGACTGTTCCCAGGGTCCTAGAGGCCCAGAGGATAAGGCTCTGGAGCAGGCCAGTGTGGGGAAGAGGTCAGCCCTGGCAGGTGGAGTTGGGGGTGGGACCAAGCAGAGGGAGGGTAGCAGGACCAACCGTCGCTCTAGTGGAGGGAAGAGCCAGCAACAAGACCTTGATGAACTTGTGGGAGAGCCCAAATCCCACAAAAGCAGCCGGGCGAAGTCCAAGGAGTGCAGGAGGGAGCGGAGCAACACACCATCTCGAAAGCGAGACTCGCCAAAAAAAACTTCTCCAAATGACACCAACATGAATGGGGGAAATGGATGCCTAGATGGTTGCAACAACCAACATGGAGCTCTGGTGCCATTCAAAGCCCTACCAAAGGAACCAGAGAAAGGGCAAATGAGTCGTCCCCGCCACAACTCCAAGACCAGCAGCAGTGCATCAGGCAGGAAGGCCACAGTATCCCCTGGGCCATGGAAGATCCCTGGTTCGGACAAGCTACCCAGTACCCTGTGCTCAGCCACCTCCACCATCAGCAGATAACATCTCATCAGAATCTCAGGCCCAAGTTTACACCTTACTTTTGGCCTTGACTTCTTTTGGCCAAGTTTTGGACCAATCTTTGGCCATGAACCGCCTTGCTTTGGGACTGGTTGGGCTTGGGCTTTTCTTGATTGCTTTTCACAGGCTTGCTCTACTTGGAAGAGATTGGTTTTAACCATGACGAGGTACCACCCTCCCACAATCCTCACTAAAGACCTTTCCATGCATTTCTAGACAGAGCATTTTTTATTTATATAAGTTATTTTAACAGATATGACACCCACCACCTTAAGAACTGGAAGCATTCACTCCAAAAATGGAACCACGGTGGAATGAGTGATGCATGTTGCGTGCAAAAAGAATCCCAGACTTGTTTAAACTTGGGGAAAAGCACTCAAGATTCAGAGATGTACATGCATAGAGAACCACTAACTCTTGAACCACCACTGGTGGCTACAGCAATTTTTATACGCTTTCATTAAAAAATGAAGAATACTGAAGGAGTTGCCTGATATATAGTTTTTGTGTATTTGAAGAATGAATATGATTAAAAAGATTCTTTATGAGCGGACACTCGACTATGGAACTCTGCCTTAAAGACTGACCTGCAGATGTCTGTATAAGGGTCGGTAAAATGAATATAGAAATAGGTATATTATATGATTGCATATATGTGAGACATATTGTAAATATGGTCTTTACACACCATTGTGAGCCCATACTGGAGTATTGATATCATACACAGTGTAAGAGTGTAATCTAGAATTCATTCCTACTCCACTTTAAGGTGCGTTCCCACTGACAGCGATATAAACTTGAGTGGTTGCTAATCGGTGTTACTACTCAACTTCAGTATAGAACTGTAACAGGAAACAGATCACATGACCTTCACTGTCTACACTGACATCGGTAGTTGAAGCCTCAAGTTCAAGATCAACGGCAACGGCAACGGTCGATTGTGTCTCTTAAAATCGCAAACTCTCATTGATGATTTATGACTACCAGTTGCTGCAAATCGCTGTCAGTGTGAGTACCCAATTTCTGAAGGAGCCACTGAGCTTTGACCTTCTCCTGACTCTCAATCTATTCTCCCTTTACGTGAGTACACGAACAAAGCAATTTGAGTCTGATGGTTTGGATGAAATATAGAATGGTTTGATTAGGGCAGAGTGCCTTATGACAGAGGTGTCCAATCCTGCTCCTGAAGAGCCACTATCCTGTAGAGCTTAGCTCCAATACTAATTAGACACATCTGAACCAGCTAATCAAAATATTGAGGATTGCTAGAAACGTCCAGGCAAGTGTGTTGGGGCAGGTTGGAGATACACTCTGCAGTACATTGGCCCTCAAGGAGCAGGAGTAGACACCCCTGCCTTATGCAGACCACTTGATGCTTTATTTGAGCTCTAAATCCTAGGCAACGACATCAAGACAAAAAGAAACCGTAGGCTGCTATTAATTCATTGGACTACTTGTTCCGTAGATACTGTGCAACAGTAATGCCAGAACTGAATGTGTATGTCATCACATCCCTCTCTCTGAATGCTGATTGGTGACTAGAGAGGCCGGTTTTTGTCCACAGTATAGATATATCAATATAATATTCAAAGCTATTTTCGTACATAGATAGAAATAGAGGTGAGAGTCTTCTAAAAGAAGTGCAGATATTTATTAATGATATCTCTGACAGGAGTTCAAATGTTTGTTGAGCACTTTGTCTTTAAGTAGACATGTATACATATAAAATGCAGTACTGGAAAGAGTATATGCTGTGCATCCATGATATTCATTGAATATTTCTGAGAAAGTTAATTCTCAAAATCCTGCTATGAAAATTAGTTTACTAGCATATCCCCATATAAAAGGTTGTGTGTTGGTAAGTCTCTATCACATGGATCATGTCAGGGCTTCAAGCAAATTGTGAAAGTACATGAAAAAGGTGCCCTGTTGAAAAAAACAGCATATGCTGGGTTAGGTATGTTTTGACGCTGGGATGCTGGTTTAAGCTGGTCCTTTTGCTGCATAAACCAGCAAAGGACCAGCATAAACCAGCAAAGGACCAGCATAAACCAGCAAAGGACCAGCATAAACCAGCAAAGGACCAGCATAAACCAGCAAAGGACCAGCATAAACCAGCAAAGGACCAGCTTAAACAAGCATCCCAGCGTCAAAACATACCTAACCAGCATATGCTGTTTTTTTCAACAGGGTAATGTATGCTATTCTGTCATGCATTGTTTTGTTTTTTTCTTTGAATGTCATCATCTACCTTGTGCTGTATTTAGATGTATCTACATAGACAGTCTATCAGTCTCTAGCTAAGCTAGTAGGCTAAGATGTTAGCTTGCTAATCGAAGGCTAACTGAAAACACAAAGAACCAATTAAAAGGTCTCAGCTAATGGAATTTCTTTGAGATATCTTTGGTTACGCTTTGAAAAATCCACAGTAAATTAGGTGAGTTTACTCGTTTATAAGTGTCATGTTACACATCTGTGTGCCACACAGCAAGGTGGCTGAAGTTCCATTCACACCAAGGCGGTAATGATAACTATAAAGTTGTAATAATTATTCTGATTCTATGAGAGTAGGGTAATGATATAACGATGACACAGAGGAGAATCACTTTCTTCTTCTTCTTTTTTTCAACTGATGAATCATAAAATCACTGACAACCAGAATCAGAATCCACCACTTGAAAATTGAGTTAGCATTTAAAGCAGCAGACGACATGACTGCATTGTTCGCTTATAATAAACAAAATGTTATTGTGCATTGATGTGGATGCTAACTTAGTTATAATTTTAGTTATATTTCGGGACTTATCGCTTGATTCTTGCTCCATTGAGTTTAATGGGCTGGGGAACATTGATGCGAGTCATGTGAAAGGGCCTTAATACTTGAGCTTAAAAACGTAACCGTTTGAAATGTTAAGGTGTAATGGAACAAACGTTTCGGTTACATCTGGGCCTCAGTATACATTATTATTCTGTGTTTTGCCATAAATGTCACTGAAATTAATAAATATACCATTTTAGAATCGCTTGAAGGTGAAAAAGGTTGTTTCTGTGCAACTTTGCATCAAACAGAACTGCAATTCTGGGCTGACAAAACAACATGGTCTCAACCAATTGCATGATTTTGAGGGAGTGTCTTAATTGTTCATGATTTTTATACTGATTTTACAACCGATAGTGGCACAGAAATTACACACTTCACTTTAAAAAAAATAACAAACATGTTGAGACCCCAATGGTGCTATATTGTGTATTCTTCCTGCAATACTGTCAAAAATATTGTCCAATTATTTACAACTTTTATAATTTAGTTCATTTAAATTTATATATATATATATATATATCAAGTGTCAATTGTAGTTTCCGTGAAAAGGACCCCAAACAAGACCTCATCTGTTCTATCCATTTTTATAATATCGTCCCTATTATATTCATCTCCCACAGAAATAAAGCGATGACGGGTTACACTGACGCTCTTTGACAACTCTTGTAGATGACAAGGAGAGCTGACAATGATCTAGTCATTACAAGATAGTGCTAACATTTCCCTGATGAAGACAAATTAATTGAAGCACTCCAAAAATGAGTGTGCCTCTGTGGCTATTACATTCTGAGTGCTTCATCCTTCGAAATCCCAGACAGACAATGGCATTGTCAAAGCAAGTGTATTTTCCATAGAGTACCAGCAGAGATTGTGTGTGCATATGAATGAGTTGGATCACTACAAACACTATGATATCTCTCAATAGTGTTAGACAGGAAATTAACAATTTGATTAAAAATACAAAATCAACTTTATGAACAAGGAACAAGTCATCTTAAAGCCAGAAACCTACTCTATGCAAGTGCACAAATGTTTGGCTAGCGCATTGTAGGTGTGTACATCCTTAGCGTCTATGTTTGCGTTAACTCATAACTGTACTCAAGGGGGCGACAGATGTACCAAATGTCTTTACTGTTGCACAATATGCTGTAAAGGTGCACTCAAAACTGTTGTTTGGTTAATTTTTTGTGAGTGAAATCCATTTATTTCAATAGAAATCGACACAATCTGTATTTTGCGCGAGGGCGAAAAATTTCCCCACATAGATTTCGCAACGGGTTCAAGTTAGTCTGCTTGGTTTGAAAGTGTCTGCTGTGTTAGCTGTACTTTATACATTACTACTAATGACAATTAACCGTTTTGTCTTTGAAAATTGGTTAGTGACTCTATTTTTATTCATTTAACTAGCTAATAACATTTTGAATAAACTTCGAACTTTAGCCTCATGACAAAAGTTGGCCCTTAAAAAGAAAACTGATGCTAAATTATGCAAATACCGCTTTAAGAATGCAATGTGTTGCATAATGAATTGCATTCTGACACATTTGCAATGCAACAACAAGAAAAGGGTGCTTAACTTGCGTAGATTTGCATTCATGCACTTGTTTAGGCTTTGTTTCTGGCCTTAGGGGGGGTTTTCTTTATCATTTTAAAGAGTAGCTGGTTTGTTTAAAGAGAGAATAGTGTCAATGCATTCAAACTGCTTTTCCATTTATTTTGTCTTGAGTTTGCCAAATGCTGAAGAGACGTCACTGAAATGATTCAACCTGATAAATAAAGTGATTTAAAATGAGATGATTTATCGGTAGAGCCATGGAGGCAACGCAATGCCCAAAAGAAGCTCTGTATCACTGTGTAGAACTTAAAGAACAGCGCGGTTCACCCTGTACAGCTAAAAACTATCAATATGACACTATGTATTATGACCTAGTCACAAAAACTGTAAGTGAGCTACTATTTTTAAGAAATGCAACTCAATGGATACATACTTACTTTTGCAGAGCTCTTGTTTACTGTATGATATTTACTGAAATACTGTCAAATAAAACCTTGACCATGGTGTAAAGTATTCAAGTAAAATCAAGTGTTTTGTTGAGTGTTTTACCTTAATGGCCGGTCTACATTGATTTCCTCCTGCACAAATACCGTGTGATTATGCAACCAGTGGTTAAAGGCTCTTTATTTGAAAGGAGATGCTGAAGTGTATGCTGGGTAGCGGTACCATAATTACACGTTTATTGAAAGAAACACAAAACAGACTTAAGCGTAACTCCACAAGCTGAACTTTGGTCACTGTGCAAAACACTACCAGATTATCAGGTGCAGTCAAAGCCGCTTGAGGAACCCGTTTACATACTGTTTTATGTTTTGGGGTTTATGAAGGCCTATAAATGCAATTTATTCCTCTGATGGCAAAGCTGAATTTTCAGCAGCCATTACCTCATTACTATGGTGTCACACAATTCTTCAAAACATTCTAATATTAATGTCGTTCTAATATGCAGATTTGGTGCTCAAGAAACATTTCTTACTATTATCAGTGTTGAAAACAGTTATGCTCTTAATATTTTTGTGGAAACCATTTTTTCAGGGTTCTTTAAGGAATTGCTCATTTATTTATATAGCCTATAGAAATCTTATGTAACATTATAAGTGTTTTACTGTCACTTGTGATCAATTTAATGCATTCTTGCTGAATAAAACTTTGTTTCTTTCTTTAAAAATGATAATAATAAGCAGAAAACAAACATCTCACTCAGCCCAAACGTTGGAATTATTGTGCTGAGGCATGTGTTCTTCTTAAAAGCATGAGTAGGAGTATCTTAGGATATGCATGCTTTATCTCTCAACAGCATTCTGAAGGGACTTTCTGGACTTTGCAAACTCAGAATTCTCTCTTTTCAAGTTCTAGATACAAAGAGAAGTCCTTACATTCTGCTACAGAACTTCCTCTTACAACCGAAAATTCTTTAGTCCCGCTGAGCTGTGCTAAAGAAGAAACTACAATCCCTCTAGCAAAACACTGTATTTACACAGACTATGGTGTTGGTTAGAGGGTTTTATACATGCCAGGTTCATATAACGATCCTATACAGTGGGTACGGAAAGTATTCAGACCCCCTTAAATTTTTCACTCTTTGTTATATTGCATCCATTTGCTAAAATCATTCAAGTTCATTTTTTTTCCTCATTAATGTACACACAGCACCCCATATTGACAGAAAAACACAGAATTGTTGACATTTTTGCAGATTTATTAAAAAAGAAAAACTGAAATATCACATGGTCCTAAGTATTCAGACCCTTTGCTGTGACACTCATATATTTAACTCAGGTGCTGTCCATTTCTTCTGATCATCCTTGAGATGGTTCTACACCTTCATTTGAGTCCATCTGTGTTTGATTATACTGATTGGACTTGATTAGGAAAGCCACACACCTGTCTATATAAGACCTTACAGCTCACAGTGCATGTCAGAGCAAATGAGAATCATGAGGTCAAAGGAACTGCCTGAAGAGCTCAGAGACAGAATTGTGGCAAGGCACAGATCTGGCCAAGGTTACAAAAAACTTTCTGCTGCACTTAAGGTTCCTAAGAGCACAGTGGCCTCCATTCCTTAAATGGAAGACGTTTGGGATGACCAGAACCCTTCCTAGAGCTGGCCGTCTGGCCAAACTGAGCTATCGGGGGAGAAGAGCCTTGGTGAGAGAGGTAAAGAAGAACCCAAAGATCATTGTGGCTGAGCTCCAGAGATGCAGTCGGGAGATGGGAGAAAGTTGTAGAAAGTCAACCATCACTGCAGCCCTCCACCAGTCGGGGTTTTATGGCAGAGTGGCCCGACGGAAGTCTCTCCTCAGTGCAAGACACATGAAAGCCTGCATGGAGTTTGCTAAAAAACACCTGAATAAGATTCTCTGGTCTGATGAGACCAAGATAGAACTTTTTGGCCTTAATTCTAAGCGGTATGTGTGGAGAAAACCGGGCACTGCTCATCACCTGTCCAATACAGTCCCAACAGTGAAGCATGGTGGTGGCAGCATCATGCTGTGGGGTGTTTTTCAGCTGCAGGGACAGGATGACTGGTTGCAATCGAGGGAAAGATGAATGTGGCCAAGTACTGGGATATCCTGGATGAAAACCTTCTCCAGAGTGCTCAGGACCTCAGACTGGGCCGAAGGTTTACCTTCCAACAAGACAATGACCTTAAGCACACAGCTAAAATAACGAAGGTGTGGCTTCACAACAACTCTGTGACTGTTCTTGAATGGCCCAGCCAGAGCCCTGACTTAAACCCAATTGAGCATCTCTGGAGAGACCTAAAAATGGCTGTCCACCAACGTTTACCATCCAACCTGACAGAACTGGAGAGGATCTGCAAGGAGGAATGGCAGAGGATCCCCAAATCCAGGTGTGAAAAACTTGTTGCATCTTTCCCAAAAAGACTCATGGCTGTATTAGATCAAAAGGGTGCTTCTACTAAATACTGAGCAAAGGGTCTGAATACTTAGGACCATGTGATATTTCAGTTTTTCTTTTTTAATAAATCTGCAAAAATGTCAACAATTCTGTTTTTTTCTGTCAATATGGGGTGCTGTGTGTACATTAATGAGGAAAAAAAATTAACTTAAATGATTTTAGCAAATGGCTGCAATATAACAAAGAGTGAAAAATTTAAGGGGGTCTGAATACTCTCCGTACCCACTGTATATGTATCTCGTCTCAAAGCATGATTCTGGAAGCTTCATATCATTGCTATCATTGCTTTTTTCGTAATTGCTGGTTAAATATTGCTGAAAAGGTTCCAGGTTCCATTTTGACAACAAGCCTCAGGGTCAATTCAGCATCGTAGTGTATTAAGTATCTTTGTTCATGGAAAATAACAGTGGAAATGTTTACGTCTAAGGTATGTGGCTATATAGAAATTGGCTTTCAAAAATAAAACCATACCGTAATATTCACTGAATTATGAGCAGGTGTGACAACTAGCCCCTGTCATTCTAATATGAGGAATAATTACTTGACATTAGTATAGACGTTAATAACTACGTGACATTTGGTACGGAGAATCCGTTAAATAGCCACCGAATACCACTTATGAGACGTGACATTTCAATTGATTTTCTAAATTAAAAAATGATCCCATCATATGTCGTTTGCCGCTAATGTAATAGATGCATGTTGAATTTGATTAGGCTGGAGATATTTTTGAAAAGATATTAATGCAATGTAATCAGGACAAGATTAAATGTTATCCTTATATTGCAATATACAGTGCATTTCAAAAGATTACGTGAAATAATTCAATAAAAAGACACATAGCTATGCATGTAATTCTTGCTGTGGCCAGTAGGTGGCAGTACCTGACATGGTGGATGTTTTGTAATCACTCGTTCATCCGCGCCAGTAGGGGGCAGTGTGACATGCACAGCTCAGAAGAAGAACGAGCCTCTGAAGTGAAAGCGCAAAATCCCGTGTGCTAGCATTACTGGCTAGCAGTTGTGAGTTTACGGAAAACATGGACTGGTAAATATTACGTTTTATTCTAATGTTATTGTTGTATGACTGATATCTGATTACTTTATTTGATTCATGGTTTTCTCTATTTTAAATTATCGTGAGAACGGCTCCACATGGCAGCTGACACTGTCAATATAATAACACGAGAGAAAATAAAATATAACTTATTATTTATCGATGAAAAAATATGTAACTTTAGTGTTATTTTATGTAAATACAGCATTTCGGATCACAGAACCTTATGTTATGCAGAAGTCTAATAGTTTGTTAGCTGCGTTTTGACAGTTCATAGCCAGTTATTATTGCTATTTGATTGTATTTTACAGGGAACACAGTGTAAACAGCAACACAGTGTGTGTGTGTGTGTGTGTGTGTGTGTGTCTCTCTCTCTCTC